CACTTTTTTTTCAGGACAATAAATGTCTGCCACTTTGTATTCTCATTTCTAAAATGGTATTTCAAAGATGCTTGGCTCTATATATTTAACTTATATTGACATTACACTGTGCTGTCAGAGTACAGAGCTATTTTATGCCAGAAGACATATAGCTGTACCCCAGATGGTAATGGCTGGATTTATGTCATGAGCACCTGTAGACAGAGAATTCTCAAGCACCCCCAATTAACTCCCCTCTCCTTCCAAACTAATAAAAAAAATCTTGACTATTTAAATATGATAAAAATAGTTGTATATAGGCACACATGCTGAGTGTGAGATATGTTTGTATGCATGTCTGTGTCAGAGTGTACTTGTATGGTACGTGTTTGTAACAGTGTGGGTTGCACCATGTGTAGTAGTGTAGTGTGGGTAGCAGTATGTGTTTATAACAGTTTGGGTAGTAATATGTGGGGAGCAGTATGTGTAGCAGTTTAATTCTAAATGAAAGAACAGCGTCATGGACATCAGACACGATAACCACTTCAATGAAATTAAGCAGTTATGGTATCTCCAGTGTTCCTTTAATAGAGTTATATGCAAAAAAAAAAATAGAAAGTGGTCCACATCTAGGTTTCATAAAAAGGTGATCTCTTACAAACCATTGGCTCAATGTAGAGCCTACACATAGACCCAAAGAAAGACAAATCATAGCCTGGAATGGCTCTTGTATAAAGAGGGTCTGTCTGGCATTTTGTAATGTTAGGTGATCTCTTACAAACCATTGGCTCAATGTAGAGCCTACACATAGACCCAAAGAAAGACAAATCATAGCCTGGAATGGCTCTTGTATAAAGAGGGTCTGTCTGGCATTTTGTAATGTTAGAAAAACATGTTTTAGACCTGAGCAAGCACTTTGAGGCAGTCTAACTAATTCAGTCTTTCTCCATTCACAATGCTCTCTTACATTCCATTTTGGATTAAATAGATTAATAACAGGTTATTTTTGAATGGCCATACAGCAAAATGTACGTGTTAGAAATTATGAATAAATCCCCACACAGTAGCAACCTATCCAAGTGATTAATAAGTCTTAAGAAAAGTGAAATTTATATAGATGAAAAGCTTTGGTTTTCAAATTGGTTATCTCATCATGACTTTTTAAGAAAAACAATTATTTAAAAAATGCTCAAACATCTTCCAGCCATTTTTATTTTACTCTACCGGGAAACTGAATGGAAGGGTCAGATCATCAGAATTACATGTATTAAAAGTACATACAAACTGTAAATAAAGTGGAACATGTGGAGAAAATATAGAGCAGCTAATTCAGCCAATTTACTCATTCACTGACAAAATTGTGTATGCACAAGTCTTAGATTTCCATGCGCAAGTGGTAATAGGACAAATAAGAAGGGCAATGTGGAGTAATATATAAGGGGGAATATGATTAAATATGGGCAATATGACAACTTATAGAGGACAATATGACAACATGAGGACAATATGACACTATACCACTCTTGCCTAAGACAGTCTGTGATTTTATGGATTGCATATTATGTACTTTATTTAAAAAAATGTTCTACTTGGTATAAATACATATTTATTTATGTCATCTGTGATTTTCTTTTTCAAGATTAAAGAAAACACTACCTGTGTAAAGGTGGATGCTTCTACCAACAGGTAACCTCCTTTCTTACTGATACAGACTTTTCACTAGGGTCTAATGCTGACATACGGTTAACTAAATTAAACTCACTCACTGTATTCAGCCACCTTAAGCGAGATTTTATTAGCAAGATAACAATATGGGAAATTAGTTTACAAGGATATGAGACATAAAATGCTAAAATGTTGGCTTCGGGGAATCAAAGCACATGTGAATGGATTATAAGATATAGGGCAAGCAAACTCAAAAGCTAGCACGGGCCACATAAACAAGGTTTAAGTTTATGTGGGACCCCAAAAAATAAAACATAAACTTACATTTTCATTGAAATGGTTTTTTAAAAATAGTTTTCTATTTTTAACTTTAATTTGTAACTATTTGTTTGACCCTCCATAAACAGGAATTTAAGATATACCTGCATTGTTGTCATTAAAATATGCTGTCTGGTAATTTTCCTGCAAATCCATGAAGGGGAAAGAAAATATGGAAATGAGTGGCCTGTTGGTACTTTTTGCAACTGAGCTACCTCTACTGTATCACTATTTTGTGCTAGAGAAAAGTCGTACTGTATCTATACTGGTTAAATTATTTATTTCATCACCAATTAATGTATTTCTGGAACTGTGAGTCTATGACTTTGATTTACAGCTGCAGGGAATTGAAACACTGCCAACATAGAAACCTTGGCTAAGGTAGTGTACAAGAATTAATTAATATGGTAAAAAAGATATGACAGCAAGCAAAACAAACCTAAAGTGTTTTATATCACTAACCAATAATAACATAAGAAACCTAATGATGGCAAATGTTTGGTCTGTCCTATATATATATATATAATGTGTGTGTGTGTGTGTGTGTGTGTGTGTGTGTGTGTGTGTGTGTGTGTGTGTGTGTGTGTGTGTGTGTGTGTGTGTGTGTGTGTGTGTGTGTGTGTGTATGTATGTATGTGGAATGAAAGGTAGAATAAAAAGTTGGTCTTTTGTTGAATTGTATTCAACTAATAGAAAACCTCTGTCTTTCTATTAGTTGAATACAATTTCCATTCCCATTCCAAAGCTTTTGTGCAAAGATTTTACAGTTTTACATATTTCATATATATATATATATATATATATATATATAGCCCTCTATTAGAGACAGGGATATACTGTATTTTCAGTATAATGTAATTAAATAGTTCAGGTGTACACAAAGAGAATAGTGTGATTGTAGAAAAGAATATAATTGAACTATAAAAAAATGCTTATTGAAGACATATTTTGGACTTCTTTGTTCTATACGAATTAATTGCCAGCTCCTGATCACATTCACTGACAATATCTCAATTAATTAATGGAATAGCCTCACACCTATAAGCACCCAGAAACTGTACACAGATTTCGACTGTCACAGTAAATATCACACCCCTAAATATATGATTGATAGTATATATGCATATATATGTACACACTCCCTGACAGACACACAAACACATTTCCACATTCTTGCACACACTAGCATCATTTTCTTTATTGCCCCTACCTTTGGGAGCTGGTGTGGGGCCTCTCCCTGGGGTCCAGTGGGGATCTTCTCGCAGGATCTCAGTCTTCCTGCGCCTCACTGCTCCCTCACCCCTCACATTTTTGTAAATATTTTATTATATCTTTTCATGTGACAACACTGAAGAAATGACACTCTGCTACAATGTAAAGTAGTGTAAATGTGCTGTCCCCTCAAAATAACAACACACAGCCATTTATGTCTAAACCGTTGGGCCCAATTAGCCATTTTCCCTCCCCGGTGTCATGTGACTCATTAGTGTTACAAGGTCTAAGGTGTGAATGGACAGAAGGTGTGTTAAATTTGGTGTTATCTCTCTCACACTCTCTCATACTGGTTCACTGTAAGTTCAACATGGCACCTCATGGCAAAGATCTTTCTTAGGATCTGAAAAAAAGAATTGTTGCTCTACATAAAGATGGCCTGGGCTATAAGAAGATTGTCAAGCCCCTGAGCTGCAGCATGGTGAGCAAGACCATACAGTGGTTTTACAGGACAGGTTCCACTCAGAACAGGCCTCGCCATGGTCGACCAAAGAAGTTGAGTGCATGTTCTCAGCGTCATATCTAGAGGTTGTCTTTGGGAAATAGATGCATGAGTGCTGAAAGCATTGCAGCAGAGGTTGAAATTAGTCTGCATGGCTGTCGTCCCAGAAGGAAGCCTCTTCTAAAGATGATGCACAGGAAAGTGCGCAAACAGTTTGCTAAAGACAAGCAGACTAAGGACATGGATTACTGGAACCATGTCCTGTAGTCTGATGAGACCAAGATAAACTTATTTGGTTCAGATGGTGTCAAGCGTGTGTGGTGGCAACCAGGTGAGGAGTACAAAGACAAGTCTGTCTTGCCTACAGTCAAGCATGGTGGTGGGAGTGTCATGGTCTGGGCCTGCATGAGTGCTGCCGGCACTGGGGAGCTACAGTTCATTGAGGGAACCATGAATGCCAACATGCACTGTGACATACTGAAGCAGAGCATGATCCCCTCCCTTTGTAGACTGGGCCACAGGGTAGTATTCCAACATGATAACGACCCCAAACACACCTCCAAGACGACCACTGCCTTGCTAAAGAAGCTGAATGTAAAGGTGATGGACTGGCCAAGCATGTATCTAGGAGCATCTGTGGGGCATCCTCAAACAGAAGGTGGGGGAGCGCAAGGTCTCTAACATCCACCAACTCTGTGATGTCCTCATGGAGGAGGGGAAGAGAACCCCAGTGGCAACCTGTAAAGCTCTGGTGAACTCCATGCCCATGAGGGTTAAGGCAGTGCTGGAAAATAATGGTGGCCACACAAAATATTGACACTTTGGGCCAAATTTGGACATTTCCACTTTGGGTGTACTCACTTTTGTTGCCAACGGTTTAGACATTAATGGCTGACTGAGGAAGCCGTTTTTTACCGGCGAAACGCATTTTGGCTCTTAAAGTAAACCCATATATATATTTTTTTAGGTCACATACTTTTATATTGTATTGCTCTTTTTACTGTTTTTTTATTTTCTAGACATAACAGTGCATTTTTATTAATATTATCTTATAATAAATTGCTCCTATTTTCATTTTTCATTTATCTACTGTATCCTGTATAAGTGATTCAAAGGGAGGGGCAGTGTCACCCCAAAATTTGACACCGGGCAAAAATACTTAGAGCCGGTTACCAAGGGCTCTAAATAAGGTGAGCGTTTCTATTTTTACTTATATGGACATCATTTCCACTTTTGAGATGCTACACTTAGTATAAAATATCTGTGTCTTTTATATATTCGGTGGAGAATATTCATATCTTCCTCTACCCAAAAAGACACAGACGTGCAGAAGTTTAGAGCCTAACACTAGAAAAGGCTCTAACAAATGTGAGTGTATATATTCACTTATTTCACTGATTGCTCCATTTAAAGACATATTACACTATTATCTCTATATGTTCTTTTTGTTCTTCTTTTTTATGTACCAATTGTATCAAGAGAAACGATAAAGGGTAAGAGTTCCAAGATCCAGTGAACACACTTACCTAGCACTAATATAGCGCTGCACTCACTGAAGGAACTTTAGATTTGGAAGGTGGCAACATCATCCAAGTCAAAAGTTTTTTTGTGTTTTGGTGATTGTCTATGTGTGGTGGGTAATAAGGAGTACCCACAGAGTGTATACAGCAGCTGTACTATATCTTCTTCTATTTACAACACAAAGCGCCATTTATTCCACACTTTTTCGTGTACATTCAATTAATGGCTGTGTGTTGAGTTATTTTGAAGGGACAGCAAATTTACACTTATACCAGCTGTACACTTACTACTTTACATTGTAGCAGAGTGTCATTTTTTCAGTGTTGTCACATGAAAAGATATAATAAATATTTTACAAAAATGTGAGGGGTGTACTCACTTTTGTGAGATTTTATATATATATATATTTATATATATGTATGTGTATGTGTATATATATATATAGTATATACACTTTTTTTATTTTTGGGGGAAGTAAGTAGTATAGATCACATTTCGTACTTGGCTGAAGAATACATTTTGTTTTGTGTTGCTACAAGTAGGAAACTGGATATATACTACTTGCTTATCACTACGCATTACCCATAGATTACCCATTCAACTCTATATTCACATTATTGTGCAGCTGAAGTATATTTGAAAGGGCACTCTTCACACAATCTACCTGTTCTGCTTTTCCATGAGCCCAGATTACATTTTGTATTAAATGTATATATTTATTTAGTTTTGGATAAACTTTTAAATAGTTCAAAATGTAAAAAAATGTAAATGTTTATCCAAAAATATTAAATCTTTGGATAAGCATCAATATTAAATTAAGGCCATAGTTTGCAATGATAGCCAAGAGATCTTCCCAGTGATGTATGCTGTATCTCATGTCTAATCAAGAGGTGGAAACAAAACACCTTTATTTCCAAGAAGGATTCTTCTGGACATTTTAAATTCAGTTGTTGATTGACACAGGATATAAGACAGGGCTTGGCTGGTTTTACCCTAGTTGTGCCTGTTTGGAAGTCATTGATACAACTGTGAAACTAATGGTTACTGCTCTGCCTAGCCAGTGCCACTTATGCCAACTTTGAGTGGGAGGTAGCGATACAAACGCTGCGACCTATACTCCAGGGCAAAAAATCCAGACTCAATAAATCAATTGCATAAAAAAAAAATTATAGTTTTATTCCATCAAAAGTGCATGAAAAAAAAGAGGAAAATATGCAAGAGACAGTGCACAGATTGGGGCTCAACACATTTTGTGCTTACATAGGACTTGGAGGAAGTAGTAACTTCATCAAGCTGTACCCAAAACAAACATCTACTATTATTGCTTAATAAAGTTGTGTTATTTTACACAACACACATTCATATCCCAATTTATTTTAATAAAAACAAACCCATCATCATCATCAATGGTACATCTATAAATCTATAAAGACATTGATGAAGAGTAGGAGTTGCATTCCACAATCCACCATCACCAGTAGTGCCATGGCCACTCAAAGTCCTAACATCTGTCCCTCAGCCATAAGGACTGCTAACAACTCCACTCACATCTCCCTTCAAAGTTGTTTCAAAATGTGAAAAATTACTCTAAAATCTAAAGGACGGGTATTTATTTTATCAGGAAAGAGTGTGTGAGTAATTGACAACCCACTCATCCTTTCCACCCTGAGAAGAAGAAAGCCTTTACATACATCCAGTCTGTAGCATGCTTGATTCTCCTTTAGTGTGGGAAAAAACAGTACCCCAATATCAG